TGCTCATTTGCATGAGGAGTATGTGAAGATGCACACGCTTGGAGAAGCTGATGGTGTTGGTGTGGATGGTGATCTGTTGAGATGATGTGAGTGGGAGAGGTGAAGAGGATGATGTGGAGCTGTATGTGTGTGTGAGGGTGGTGATATGTAGATGTGAAGAGGATGATGTGGAGATGCGTGTGACAGCGAGGAGGAAGGAAGGAGGGAGGAAGGCGGAGGAAGGCGGACGGAGGCGGACGGAAGGAGGCGGGCGGGATGGCAGCCAAAAAAACTAGAACCCCACACAGAGATGTGGGGAATGAAGTGAGTCGGGGCGCATTGAGTAAAAAGAAATTTGGGTCATATGATATATGAATTCATATGACATATAGCAAGATGAGATGAGACCAAGTAAAAGAAGCAACCCTACATATATTGCTCAAGACCTCAGCTAGTAAGGTGCAATGAGACCTAGTGAGGTGAAGCGACAAGAGCTGACAAAAGAAGTGAGGTGTTGGGGCCAACAGCCGGAGGGCGGCTAGCCTTTCTTGTGCCCACCATTCTGTCTAGGGGATTCTAGGGAAGGAGCAATGGCCTAGGCCTCCTACACTTGGAGGAAGAAAGCATGCAGCCTCGAAGGCAAGACACTCTTCATGTGCCCTGAAAATCAAAGCCTGGAGAGCTGAAGTGGGGCAGCTCCGCTGCCATAATTCATTGCACGTCCCCTTCATGATAATTCTACTGCACATATGCCAGCCAGCAGCCATAGGTGGTGTCGATCAACTCCAGAACATCCAAAGAGCTTTCCTCGACTGCACCAATGGGCGTCTCCTGCTAAAAGCCAAGAACAGGAACAACATGAAAGTGCCAAGAATAACATTAACATGAAAGAGAATAACATTAACATGACAGCAAATTCCAAACGTCACTTGGCGGTCCCACGGCTTGTCGCCAAGACAGTGGGACATATCACCCACGCAAATGAAAAGAGTCGACCGCCTGGAGTTGGGGCCTTGGTTCGTTCGAGAAGGCCATCGTAAACATTAGACCAGGAAACGCACGTCCCAAAGAAAAGCCCTGCCTACCGCTGCGAAGCTGACAGCACCCAAAAGGAAAGGCACCCCTGCGTGGAAAGGAACGAGAAGTGGAAGCAAAAGCTCACCGTTGCGGCCATGAATCCATAGTGATTGCAGTTGCGTGGCTTACTTGTGGTTTGCGCATCAGCGAGGTGAAAGAAAAGCGCGCATCATTCCCACGAAACGCATGCCTGTTGGAGGATCATCAGGTAATGGAGACCAGCTGCGCTTAGGGGGGCAAGCCAAACTGGACGATGCAGCCCTTGGCCACAAAAAATGCCCCAATTGGCTCGCAAAGCAAATGGCTCGCCTGAATTGCGCGATAGAAGGCCAAGTCGGTCAGATCTCCAGCAGAGGCCAACTCCATAAATCCTTACTTTGAGAGGTCCACAGGGTGCAAAACTACCAGGTAACTACCCCTTCCTTCCACAAGATGATCACTTTCATCCACCTTCGTTCCTTATCTGTGCCACAATTCGTTCAGCTGAAGGGCTTCGAGCACCATGCGGCGCCCAGTCATGACGGATGAGGATGTCAATGACACCTGCGGTCGTGTCCAGCCTGCGGTGCCGAACAACGAAGGGGAGATACAGTTCATTCCTTTTTAAAAGGCTTTGCATCTTTTGGCACTCACCTGCTGGGGGTGGACAGTAGCAGCAAAAGGAAAGAAGCATTCAATAGTGTTCTAGGACGGTTCCCGCGGTGATGTTTCCTCGACTTTCATGTGCCTGTTGTGCCTACTGCGTCATTCGTGCTTTCTGCTTTCCAAGTCTGGCTGGCGCCTCACTGTCTGCACCACCGGCCTTTGTTCCTGCAAAGGTGAAAAGAAGTAACAAAAAGGGAGAGATCGTAAGAGGTTGCCTCTATGTTCAGCTTGGGCAGCTGGATGGGCCCCCTGTCCGCAAACATGTACTGTAGGCGTTGCGAGCAAAGGCTGCTCAAGATGCCTGGATTCTTCGGCCGCATCTCGTGCCCGACTGACATCCTCAATCTCCATTGGGTCTGGTGAACTAACGATTCAAGCTGCCTCCCTCGCAACTCAGTCCTCTGGAGCAACTGCCTCATCAAACAAACAGAAATCAATCATTCTCATGATGATCAAAGCATGTACTGATGTCCGACCTCCAGCACTTTCAACTCCCAGTCATCAGATCCTTCTGGCTGAAGCAAGGCCTAAAAATGTTTCGAATGTGGCTGGCACGGTGCATTTCAAGAATCACAGTGAACTGAGGCTGTTTCTAGAAGGCTCCCACTTCCACAACCATCTGGCACTCGAATTTGAATCTTTTCAGAGCCGTGCTTGACTGGCCTGACCGTAAGGAAGCAGCACAGCGCAGCCAGTACAGAATCATGTCAGCCCTCCAAGGCTGTCGAAGTGATGTTGTGCTGAGCTGCTGGCACACTCAAAACCATCCCAGGCAAAGCCTCAAAATCGTGCTCAAAATACGACTGTTATCAAAATAAGTACTGCTCAAAAGCTCTTTGACTCTTTGACTACAGCCAAGACCCTGGCGCCATCAGGCACAGGAACTTTCACCTGCCATTTTGGCTCAATTATACATGCTACGCATTGACCAATTATCTTACCACTGCTGACGCCATCAAACTGCGTTGAATGGTTCAGTTCAGGCCTGGTAGTTTCGCCTTGTTGTCATGATGCAGTTCCAGCCTCATCTGTGATAAATAAAAATTCCCGACCTCCAGAGCTTACAGTAATAGCGATGATGGCCTCCAACCTAGTAGCTTCTAGTTACTAGCGGCTTCTTGTTACCCGCAATACTAGTAGTATTGGCCTCATCTGTAATTCCCGACCTTCAGAGCTTAAACGGAACGCTTTGCTGCTACAAGCTTCGATTGGTTGAGCTGACTCCAGCACAATGTCAAGGCTTTGACCACCGCAGCTTTGGCGATGAGGGAGTACAAACCTACAAAGGTAACAGAAGGAATAGCGGATGGATCTTGATGGTCTATGTCCATAACTGTGCTTCCGACACAGTGGCAGATCTTCCGATTATGTGTGCTGTTCTTTGTCATCCAGACCTTCTATGATCACACTCGACTTCAGTTTTTTCTACTTCCTGCGACTACTATTTATATATTCAGACATACATATATAATATATACCTTGCAAAGCTTGATTAATTTTGGTTGGGCCGCTTCTTTCACCCTCAGGCTAATGATTGTGCTGTTATACAACCAAATCTTCTCACCATATAATTCAATGCAATTGAGCTGTGCTAGTGACTTAGTGTGGGGCATCTTGCACGCGAAATAAGCTTCGGCCAGATCCAAACAGAACACCGGCACAACAACTGATTGCAAAAGCAGCCCAACAAGCCGCCGCAAGGAGCCTACCGATCCGTTCAATTGTCATATTATTGCAGTTTCACGTATTTGGTCCTTCCGTTCCAACAGATCCAATTGTTTGAGCGGCTCACGCCTGGGAAGCTGCAACTGGGACGTATCTGTACACCAAGCCCGTTGCTATCAGCATTTCAAGCTCTCTACGAGATATAAATGACACGACATACCTGACATACATACCCCACTGCATTCAATCCGGCAATGCCTGGCACCATCTCGAAACTCCTCCCACGATTTGGTGAAGAGTAAGTCTATGCTTGTACAGCACATGGTGGCGGTACATCATGTATCTCGTGGAGCTATGAGAAGTGCATCAATTGTTGACATCCGCAGCTGATCTTGAAACCATCTGCGATGCTGCGTGGACAATTCCGGGAAAAGATCCAGTGAACTTCAGGCTGAGCTGTACAAAAAGGGCTAACTTGCCCAACCAAGTGAAAGTGAAAAACGTCTGCTTCGCATCCTGAACTCCACAAGCAACTCTCTGCCAGCATAGACTTTTTACAATTGATGACTTTTCTAGCCAACGCGACCAATAACAATCCAAAGTGTCCAAAGAGTCAAAATTTATATAATGTCAGCAAGAATCAGCTGGTCTGCACGAGTGCCGGCACTCTTCAATCGAAGCTTGAGTGCTTGTAGCTGAGACGCGCTCTGCCTGCAACACGCACGGCTCCCTCAAATCAAGCATAATAATTGATTGCCACAAGAGCTTCAGCGGCGCCAGTTTCATGCTTCAGCGCATTCAACGCTCATCTGCCCCGCCACGCCTCATCAAGTTCTGACGAAGCCGGCTGTCCTTGCCCTTGGATGTCGAAGCTGCAAGGCTAACTAACTCTTCGAGTTGGCGGGCTCACGGTGTCTGACGTCTTGAGCTACAGCGTGTATGCAGTGTATGCAGTGTATGCGGTATGTTTGGAACGGACGCGGTGTAGGTTTACATGGGGGTACACCGGGTACACTGTAGTGTCGCCGAGAGGCCGAGCCCGTGCACCTCAGTTCTTCCAGCTGCTTCAAATGTGCAGACACAGCAGCTTCGGAGACAACTGCATTTCGACCTCGGGCATTTCAATCGGATTTGAAGATTTTGAAGGGAAGGTTCATGATTCATGCTCAAATACCGTGCCGACCGTACATCACAAGCTGAACCTTCTTGCAAATGCGTGCTTCAAGAGACGGCTTTGCTGGATTGCTTCTTTGCATGCCTGGAGGTTTGTGTCAAGGTAACAAGGCCAGAGCAAGCTGCAAAGCAAAGCTGCGAAAAAGTGGCAGCAAAGCCTCAACCGCGCTGGATGAGACCTCTTTGAAGAGCTCAGAGTCTGGCCCTGACAGCCTCAGGAATGCTACGGATGCAAATGGACTACTAATGACTGGTCGGATCCTGTCAAGCGGCTGTAACTGCTCAAGTGAACGCGACGCTCCATCCAACTGGGATACTGCTGCTGCCAGTGTTGTCAGCTGCTCCGAAAGCCTATGCGGACTGTGTGGAAGCAGTGAACAATGTAGACTACATTAGACATTTCAATGCCAACCAACTGCATGCGTCAGAGCTTCTCCACGTAGGAGAACATGATCTGGCGAGACGTCTCTGAAAGACAATCTGGGAGCTGATCCTAGGGAAAGTGTCGGAAAAACTAGTAAAAAACGTGCAGCGTCTCTGACTGGACAACATGTTACTTCGGTCCTGGTGCCATCGCAGGACATCCTTGGCAACATCTAGGATTTCCAAAATCAATAGCACACGCCAGACGTATGTACAAATTCCCTTTCCGGCGAAGACACCATCGTCGTCCCATGTGTTTGACACTCTTCAACAGAGAGGCCACAGTCCGGTAGCACTTCTCGCAGCACGGGAGCTTCACAACTCGAGTTGCAAAACTCAGGGTCACCACGAAATTGCAATGCCTTGGCTGCTCGGCTCTGTGTTTGGTGCTGTGGTCCGCTTCGTAATGTTTCGAGGACGGCAATCAAACTGTGAGTTTTTGACATCGACACGGCACTTCTCGCAATGCCACCTTTGGCAAATTGTGCAGCGATTAGCAGGTTGATAGTCGTCAGCCTGGGGTCATGCCATGGTAGCAAAGCAATGTGGAGGGCAACGTAAGGCTATATACATACATAATGTAAACAGAGAAAAGTCCTACCAATTGCTAATCCAGGCACTCTGGATCTGCTGTTGTTTGTCACTCTGGCACTGCAGTGGGCACAAGTCTCGCCAGGTTGTGTAGTTTCGCAGAGCTGCTTGTTCGCCTGATCAGTGTCTTTTGCAACATCAAACGGGTGAAAAATGATGCTGCGTAGAAACCAGTGACTCGACTTCCCCACCCCCCAAACCTCCACGAAGTACAACAACTGCTCTGCATCTCCGCCACCAATAATTGACAGTAGCCAATCCTGGGAAGCCAAGCGCACACATAATGCACCAACCACTCTCCACCAACTTGCTGCTATGCGTCCAGTCTTGATGGCATGTCATTTTTGCGCTTCCTGGGTTTCCACTGCTATGCTCTGATCACCGTCGCAAGCATCTAAGCCAGCTAAGCACATGGCTCCAGGTGTGACTTTCGAAAGCTGAGAAAGGATTGAGTGTGGTCCTTCAACTCTGGCAGCAGAACATCGGGGCAATTGGCAAAGCTATTGCAGTAAGCTCCTGTCTGATGCCAGGGGCCAATGGAAGTGGGTGAGCCGCATACCCAGCAGTTCTGGAAGCTGACACGTCAGAGACATCCGCCCTGAGGGTGTTAAAAGCAAGCCAAACATTGTCAAAACGTATAAAGAAACATTGTTTCAGCGAAAGCTACCTTCCCGCCAAAAGCTTTCCTAAGCAAGGTCTGAGGCACACTTGTGACGGAGTTGGGGCATCTGGCTGCATCATGCAGTTCATTCCTTCTACAGGCTCTCACCACGCCCCAGCGGATACAAAAGTGATTGAATGTGCTTGGCTGTTTGGCTGTGAAATCCAAGACATGTCACGAACTCTGAGGCTCAGTGATGATGCATCCAAGCTCTGAACTACCCCGCTCATGACTCCAATGACGTGGTGATATGGTCCAGAAACTATTGCCCACAATGCTTGAGCAAAATTGAAAGCACCAAGCCGCGCCAAGAATACAAAAGCACTAGATGATACTAAATGCAAAACAGCGCTGCTAAGTCTCCACCTTGGAGAACTGGTGCCTTTGGGTGCCAAGTTTTGCCTTTTAAAGAGTGCACTCTGTAATATGACACGGCGCCAAGGTCAAGGCTAAAAGGCACTCAGAACCAAGTCGCCACGTAAATAAGAGTCAAGCAAGGCACATGCGTTCGGTTTCAGTGTTAGCAGCAGAAAACATCGTGAGAAGCTGGGAATGCACTTAAACTGCTCCCCAACCAGTTGAATTAGAAACAAACCTTGACCTTGGAAAGTCAGCTTTTTCAATCAAGATGGTGCAGCACACTTGCCTCACATGCCTTTGTGTGAGTACTGTACCGTACCAGCCTTCCTGGCTCAAAGGAAGCCAGCTGGCCGTAGCCACTTTGGGCGCTGCCATGCATGAATGATACAAAGAAGAGGTGGCATGGAAGAGAAGGAGATCTTGGTCAAGTCGTCCCGGGCGTTGTAAAACTGAGCAATCAGTGACAGTGCAACGTCAGTGCCGGCAGCAACGCACAAACCACATAACAGTCACCGAGGAATTGGTTCGTTCTGAAAACCTCGGTCTGAGTCCCAAACTCCAGGAACCCACGGCTCGGTGATGTCAGTTGGTGGCGTGCCAGAAGCCCATGGCGGATAGTGGGCATCCGGGTATTCTACACCGTGATCCAAACCAGGACCTTATCACGCTTCAGCCCTTGGCAACACTGAGACGACAGATAGAAAGTCTACTGAGTTTATTGAGTCTCTCTTGTCCAATCATTTGCACCTCCTCTGCACCAAATCACAGCTCACGTTTCTGGAAGACTTGAGAGCCTGACCGGGAGGAAGGGCCCCACCATAGCCGCCAGCGTAGAGTGGGAGCGTCGTCCCCACTGCGGAAGCAGGTCCCCTGCGCTTGGCGCAAGCGCAGATTCCTTCGCTTCACCAGGCAGCCCCAAAACGAATCAGCCAAGGAGCGCCAAAGGAGGGAGCTTTGGCAAAGAATGCCCCAATCCAGCTCCAAATGTAGGCAACCTGAGCTTGTCTGGCATTCAAAATCTACTTGTTGGGGCAAGTGCGTTGGTATAGCCAAAAATACATTCCGCAGCACAAGCACGGATCCAATGGTCCAATTTTGCCAGGATCTGGTGGAGGCAAGTAGGCAGGGTGAAGTCTGCTGCCACCTACCCCAACCTGAACACAATTAGCTGTCCAAAACTAAAATGCATTCTAGTAGCAAGTAGCACGGGGCAGTTTACAAAGCATTTTTGAAAGTAGGAGCTGGTAGTACGAGTCATTGGTCGTGAAATCCTAAGGTCGACAAAAAAGCACACTGGTTGGTTCTGTATGCACATGGTTGAGGCCTGTTGTCTGGTCGCGGTGGTGCTGTGGTCAGGCCGCGTCAATGCCAGAGCCTTGAATCTGCAAGAAGATGCTTGCCATCATGACGCTGGCACAGTGCCATCAGTCTCCGAAAATGACTACCGTTAACTCCTAATACAGTGACTAATATATAGTGTATGTGGAAAGCACCTCATAGACTCACTCTGTGTGTGTGTGCTCCCGAATGCTTAGCGAAGGTTCTTGTTTAACTTTTTGGGAGATTGAGGGTCGAGCATTGTTCGCGCGACGTTGCTCGCAGCCGATTGCAACCGTCCGCAACCGTCCGAATGTGATCGATAAGGCCCTGCTGTTGGGGGAAGCTTTTGAAGGAGGTCTTGGATGGTCGTGTGAAGTAGCGTAGAAACACAACACGTGGAAATGTGGAGGATTATTTTTTGCCACAAATGCAGCGCTGGGAGTGGCGTTCGCGGGGTTGTCTTTTTGGAGGTGTTGAGTGTTGCTGTGCCATCGGGATTTGTTTTACAGGCCCTTGCCCAGAAGCAGCGTTTTGGTGGCAAGTCATCAAAGGTAAAATTGCGATTTTGGTTGATGCGAATGCGCCCCGACAGTGCACAAACATTCCAAACATGTGGTGTGGTCCAGTTTTGGTTTGGTGATGTTTGGTGGAGGTCAACGTCGCTGTGCCACTAGGATTGGCGTGTCGGCGGCTGTGGCTTCGAGGGGCTGGGATTGGGATTCTGCTTGGCAGGGCTGCTTGATGTGATGACACTTTATTTCAATCTTGCAGGAAGTCTCGTACGAAATGCTCGTTTCTGAGACATCGAAGCGTGACTTTGGAGGGAATCTCCTAACGCGACGTGTCTCTGGTGAGCGGGATGATTGGTGGTGTCATGTCCCATGGTTACATCTAGTCTGTGGCAGCGGCGAAGTTACAGTCCGTGATGTCGCTGTGCCATGCGGATTTGCATAGCCTTGGTGGCAAGTGCGTTCGCATGTCTCTGGTGCCGGGGAACTGAAACATGCGTGCGCAAACGCGGCGCGCCGCTGGTGAGCGGGACGATTGAGCATCCGACAAGAGTGTCCCACCAGAGTGTCAAGCAATGTTTGGTCGTTTGTTTTCGAGTACGTGTGTGCATTCGGGTTCGTGGGCTCCATCTTGTTTTTGTGTATGTGGCACCCTTCACATGCTGAGCAATATCAAGGGAAGGGCTCCGCGTACCCAATGTCTTCTGCTTTGCATCCGTCAGCCATAGGTGACGACCACAAAAATCCAAACTGCACAAAGGAATAGAGCATTTGGAGGACCACCTACAAGACCCAAAGATTGTCGAAAAGAACATACGTCTTCCATCTTTGCCACAGGCTTCGTTTGGACTGGCTGCCTTCAGACGCGTTGTGGCTTTTTGCAACTGAAAGTCTTGAAGCGAAGCGTGTTCTGTTTGAATAGGGTGCTTTGCCCGCTTGGAGCCAGTACCCAGCTTGAGTGAGGCTCTAAAAATATCAGTCAGTAGTCCCCTGGCGACTTGCAGCCTGCATTTTGACCATGAGTTCATGAGCAACCGGGATCTCGATATGTCACATACCTTTCCTTGAATTGGTCGTTCCGTTAACTCTTGCACTTCCTTTCTACAGAGCTGATTTTGTTTTTGAGGCCGATGGCAACTGCCCTGATGTCTTGTTCAAGTGGCTGTCACTGTGGCTGTCCTGGATACTTTTGATGTTCCTATCGTTGGAGGTTATGGGCGAGAGAAGCTCGGATTCGGGGTGCACCCTTCCCAGCCTTGGATCCCATGCTATGCGGTCAGGGAAATGCAATGTGGTCCCAAAAACCGATCAGGCCGCTGATTGCAACATTTACCACGTCACGACCTGCCAGGCAACCTTGTGCAACGCATTTTATGACTTGGCTTCCATCAGCCACTTGCCCTTCACTATGGCACCATCCTTTATCTACCTATATATCATCCTATCTACCTATCCATTTGTTGTCTGCCTATGTTCCCTCACCTCAAGCAGCACCGTGCACCATCTCAAATCAGCTACAAGAGGTGAACATGCATCGCAAAAGCCTGGCAATTCTTGGGACTAGCAGCGAAGCACAAGGAACACATGGGTCGAAAAAGATTCAGAAGCATTCTCACTGCATGGCTCGTCCAACAAAAAAGAATGCCTACCAGGATCTGTATGGTAGGCGAGGCGCCCGTGGAGGCCATTCACCCACTTGGCGTTCTTCCGCTTCCATGCGCTCTATGGCCTCTGATGTCACAGCTTGGCACACCAAACCCATCAACCAAAGCCTTCCAAGGGACTGCATGCCCAAGCGCCCTCCACATTGCAGATTCGGCATGCCGCAGTCCATGTCCGCTCCCTGAGTTGATCATGCAAGTGTGTTGGTTGGACGGAGCCTGAGATTGTTCTCCGCCGAGATTCTGAAGGATGGTCTCCTGTTCTCCGCCGGGAGAACATCCAACACATCTCCGACAGCATACACTGCCTCAACATGCTTCACACTTTGTGCACACACACCTTGGGGATTCAGACTTGGCTTCCTGCTGGGAAGGCCGGACCAGATCCATTAACTCTCCTGACAATGCCATTATGGCAAAAACAGCGACAAGATCTTGTATAGCTTCTAAGGCCGTGGAATTGCACTTGCATGATATTGCATGAGCATAGACCAGCACTACTGCCCATAGGAATGGCACAACGCAGGCGATATCTTGCAGGCGCGAGCCATTCTGTGGCTTTGGATCACTAGTTCTACAGTAAAACTTGTGCCATGTAGTACACTGGCGACCAGCAACCATCATTCCATGATTGGGCAAAGGCAAACAAAAGGTCTCAGTCAAGATCGGCAGCAAGTTTGGAAGTGTAACACCCAAATGGTTCAGAAAATGTTTGCTCCCTACACAAGAACCATTCACCATTTGGTGATGTTTGTTCGCGAGCCTTGGATCCAGTTTGCGTGGCATTTGCAACATGTGTGAGCCAGCTTCCGGTGGTTTGGTTTTAGGAAGAAGGACCATACGAACTCCTGGACACCCCAGCATGCCTTCGAGGCCCTGTGTGTATGAACCGGAAACCTGCACCACCTGGGCTTCGAAGTCTGTTACTGATCACATATATTCGGCAAATATACGGAGACACAGGCAGCCTCAAAAATGGTCCCAGTCGTCGGCTGGGCCCCATTCAAGGTTGAGGAAACTGGTGGTTCCAGTTTGACAAAAGGAGAAGGGGCCAAATGACCAAAGGACTAGGACTAGGGAATCGGGAAATTGTGATGCAGTTCTTGGCGTGTCCATTCTTTTGGCGGTGCTCAGCCTCCAATCTACATAGGGGCACGCGAGGAGGATGGAGTCATATCGAAGGGATCTCCTACACTTGGTTTTCCTCACTCACCATTAGAGGGTGAGAACTAGTATGGTAAAGGCCTTGTGCGGCTCAAGGATCATCAGCGTGGCCAATCTGCAAGCTCTCTCAGCTGATTCGGCCTATCCAAATACAAGTCGGTCCATTGGCGGGTCAGCTGCATCTGTTTTAGAGCATGTGTCGTATTGAAGTTTTGCAACATCCCTTCCGAAATTCGCACCTGAGGTCCAGTTAAAACCTTCTAAGCTGCAGTGGAATTGTACCGCTTCTTGTGACCATCTAGAAACTAGCCGCTTTCGGATGCCAATTAATTTATATAGCTTATATAATTTTCTACGAATTCGCGGTTCAAATCACCTTCTAGACTTGTTTTGAGACATGCTGCATTAATAAGCCTGGCTGCTTAGCTTTTCATGTCATCTGGAGCCTGTGCATATGCAGTCTCGTAGGGCAATATCTTGGGCAATTGGTAACACGCAGGGTGGCGGCAAGTATGTAAAAGCTTCCTTTTTCCTGTGTCTGGCGATCGAACTAGAAACTCGAGCCTTTGCTCAGAAAACACTTGCTATCACCGATTCTAATGCCTGCCGAGCATTCCAAGCACTAAAACTGCCGATACTCTAACATCTTCCAACAGCTTGTGCAATCCGAGGCCCCTTCTACAGGTGGATCTTGCTCCGCTAAACCATCTTGGCCAGCCTGGAAATCGCTTATGCACAACAAAACTACCTTGGTTGAGTCGAATGCTCTTGTTCGCAGCCCAGGCGCTTGGCATTTCTCAATGAAACCAGTTGCCTGGAGGCTCTGCAACGAGGTGCACAAGCTGCTTTGCCAGGCGAACTTCCCAGGCCTTTTGCAACATCTGAGTTCGAATAGCCAGCCGCCGCATTTGCAGGTGCACCTGAACCCAAGTGGCTGGGAACTACTAGCGCCAAGTTGATCTGATGCCCACCTTCTGCATCTGAGTGTGTGACAGCTGCCTCGTTGCATGCTTTCACATCGCTGAAGTTGAGAGTTAGCCTGACGGGACTGAAAAGTAGGGGGCAAAACTGTATCAAGTTCTCTCAGCTTCGGAAGCTTGGGAGTGGGCGTGAAGTAGGTGCTGATTGGTGGATTGTACCTTCTGCAGCCACAAATGTCAAACTCCACTGGCGATCTGTTACCCACAGTACACCCAATCCAGAGCCCCCGTTGCGGCACGCAATTCCTAAGCCAAGTCACGCGATAGCTTCTCCGTGCTTCATGCCCGGCTGGTGGGCATTCATGCCAATCCTGAGGAATATTAATGAATCGGTGTAATCGCGCTTACTAGGGACACACTTTGCAAGCGCTTTGCCATTATGAACCATTATGACACTTGCGTGGAATTGAGCAAGGTCTGTGGAACAAGCCAAGATTGGAACTCAAATGGCTCAAGACTTCTGTCAGAATTGCAACTGGCTGCCACTCCTCACCCCTTTGTTCTATAAATCTGAGGGCCCAAGCTGAAGAGTTCTTGGGTCGCTCCTGTCAATGAGCGACTGCACCTGACGCAATAACCTTAACCTTGCAAAGGGCTCCAACTCCAACAGCACAAAGTATTGGCTTTCCATTGCTCATCAGGGTCCACTCTGTCACATTTCAGCGATGCGAGTACCCAGTGCCTGCCACAATGGCCAAACTGTAGTAATGACCTTGGCGACTACTGGTTTACTTGATAAACGATGGCAGCACGTTCCAGACATGACATACCAACCATGTATGTCACAATGATGCATGTTTCATGTGTGCCTCGATCTACGCATGCATACATACAGTAGCCATGCTAGCCCACATGACAACGCAAGGGCGCGGCAGCCTCATCGGAGCTTCGTGGGTCGGCCTCATGGGACAAGTCGCTCAAGAACAAAAGGATAAGAAACCGAAATTGTTACAGTAAGTGTCCCTTAAAATCTAGAAACCAAATCATTAGTGCGAGCGAAGGAGGCTTCCCCCCCGGGGGAGCTTCCTTGAAAAAGTCTGAGCGATCCTGCGTCCTAAGTAGTACAGTAGCCACTTGTAGCTACTACCTACCTCTCGCCACTACCTACCTCCTAGCGGCCTACCGGCCACACACACAAAAACATCACTCTGCTTACCGCGGCTTATCCCATGTCATGTGGTCTTTGCCACTCGCTCTGAAGATCCAACGAGGATAAGCCACGTGGGGTCCAACATAAGGCGCCGCTGTGCCCTGGCAGGCTGACATTTGTCGGAGGTTCAAGAGTAAAGCTTTCAGAACGAGATGTTCATGGTGTCGTTGATGGTGGTTACAAGAAGAGGTGTCAAGGCATTCTTCAGCAGTTTTGCTTTACACGAAGCTTACAAGCGTCTAGAGTCTAGAATGCTGAGATTTCGGCTTCGCTGGGGATGCCAAACTACAGCTGATGCCTGTCAGCAACTGATGAGAGCTTCCAGGGCCGGAGACTCGACCTTACTCATCTATATGATCACCCTCTCTGCAACCCAGTGTGCTTTCCCACTGCACGGCCTGGCACGTCCATAAATGAATGCCACTACTTCATGGCATGGTATGGCAAGAGTCCATCACATCTTAAAATGGATGGACATTCAATCGAAGCTGCTGCCAGCTTTTCAGACCATAGCTCGCAAGCTTGATGGTCCTTGGCAGCCGTCTGCTAACTACAAGTAACTACAAGTCGGAGTAATGTCTTTGGAAGACTCCTGGATTGGACCGGCCCCTCGAAATCTGCATTCGATGACCCTCGCTGACTCACAAGTGTCCAAGGAGTCGTCAACTGCCCACCGGCTACATGGATTTGGGGAGCCAAAGCTGGCTTCCAGATTGCCTAGCACGTCTACTTGCAGTCCAATTGGTGTCGTGAGGTCTTCGAAAGAGCTTCGCAGTCCACCTACCACGGCGTGTATTTGCGGTGAGTGTGCATGTATATGTGCATAGATTTATAGAGAGAGAGAGAGCGGGTAGTGATGGGGGGTGGGGTTGTGAAAGTTGTGATTTTGTAAGGTTTTTCTCTTTTTGCAGATGATATGACATTGATAGGGTTGTGAAAGTTCTTTTTTTTGGTAAGGTTTTGCTCTTTTTGGAGACGATACCACATTGATAGGATTCTGAAATTGGTGATTTTTTTGCTCTATGTGCAGTTGGTAAGCATATTAGTTCATTCAACTATGTACTACAAAAATGAATAAATCCAAAAGGTGAGGTGTTTACTAAAAAGTTCTTGGATGCAGTAATCTAATGCCACGCAGCCCCCCATGCAAACCCATATTTCTTGTTTTTAGAGTGTGAATTGCATTGCTCTTATTGAACGCAGTTGGGTAATTACATCAAAATCAGAAGGCAAAGAATTACACACCTCAAATAAACAAATTCTAATCTAATTCTAAGCCAATTCAAATATGTAAATTCAGATTTCAATCTTTTTCAATCTATTTGGTGTTCAATGCAAGCCAAATTTTAATTTGATTTTAAGCTACCTTTAATTTCATGCTATACAATTCAGGTTCAATTCTATTATCTTATTCTTTTTCAATTCAATTTTATTTTTTTATGAAATTCTCACTTACTTCAATTTTAGTTTTTATAAAATTCTATTTTACTTCTAGAGAATTGGTGTTTCTGTGAGCATGAGAGACAGCGCGGGCAACCCGGCCTGCTATTTCGCGACCAACCGGCCGGCCGGCTGGCCAAATAGCGGCCGGCCGGCCGGCTGGCCATAGCGGCCGGCTAGCCGGGCGGCCAAGTAGTAGTAGTAGTCGTCGTCGTCGTCGTAGTAATAGTGGTGGTGGTGGTGGTAGTAGTAGTAGTAGTAGCAGGAGGAGGAGTAGTAGTAGTAGTGGTAGTAGTAGTAGTAGTAGGACTAGTAGTAGCCGAAGTCGTAGTAGTAGTGGTGGTAGTAGTAGTAGTAGCAGTAGTAGAAGTAGTGCGGTAGTAGTAGTAGTAGTAGTAGTAGTAGTAGTAGTGGTAGTAGTAGTAGTAGTGGTAGTAGTAGTAGTGGTGGTAGTAGTAGTAGTAGTGGTAGTAGTAGTAGTAGTAGTAGTACTAGACTAGTAGTAGTAGTAGTAGTCGTCGTCGTCGTCGTCGTCGTCGTTGTCGTGGTAGTAGTAGTAGTAGCAGTAGTAGTAGTAGTAGGAGTAGTAGTAGTAGTATTAGTATTAGTAGTAGTAGTAGTAGTAGTAATAGTAGTAGTAGTAGTAGCGATTTCTTCCACGGCCCGCCGGCCGGCTGGCACCTTGATCGGCCGGCCGGCCATGTACTAGTAGTAGTAGTAGTAGTAGTAGTAGTAGTAGTGGTGGTGGTGGTGGTGGTGGTCGTAGTAGTAGTAGTAGTCGTCGTCGTCGTCGTAGTCGTAGTAGTCGTAGTAGTCGTAGTAGTCGTAGTAGTAGTAGTAGTAGAAATAGCTGACGGTCGTTGATCAGGCCGCCGGCCGGCCGGCTGGGCTGTGGATCTTGGCCGGCCGGCCGACCGGCTGGCTGGACCGTGGACCTTGGCCGGCCGGCCGGCTGGACCGTGGATCTTGGCCGGCCGGCCGGCCAGCTGGACCGTGGTTCTTGGCTGGCCGGCCGGCTGGCTGGCTGGCTGATCGAGAAATAGCGGGCCGCGATAAGCTCGCAATGGAGAGTTTTCCAACATGGAAGCATTTGCTTTCTTAAATGAAATAAATTCACACCCCCAGCAACACCCACTCTCCAGAATGAAATCAAAACTCAATTAGAATTCCGTTTACATTGAATTGGAATCAAATTAGACCTACATTAGACATATAGAAATCAAAACTAAATTGCAATGACAATAGTGCAAAATTAGATGTGTAAAGCAATTGAATCTGAACTGTATAAAGGCATTAACATTAGAAATCACCTACAAGTAAGTTGAAAGAAGCAAAAATTGCCATTCAACCCAAAGCAATGAATTAGAAATAAATTGGAATTAACTTGGAATTGAATGAACAACATTAAATCAAAAACCAGTACTTAAATTGACATTGACTTAGACCTAAGGTAGAATCGAAGGAGAGTCGTTTAACCTAGCGCATGGTTAGTAGAACAGTATGTACTTGGAATCAGATTATAAATAGATTCAATTAGAATTGGGCTAGAATAAAAATTGCAGACTCAAATTGAATTCAATTATATAGAATTCAGTTATGCTCAACTTAGAATTAGATTTGAAGCATGTTGCAGGTTCACATTTAAACTCAAATTTGAATTTAGTATTAGACCCAAAGTAGCCCAACACAATTAGAACTATAATATAATTGAATTAGAATAAAAATTGAATTGGAACTTGGCTACAGCGAACTTTAAAGTACATAGACTTAGTTTAGAATTCAGGTAGGCTCAACTTAGAATTAAAGTGGAAGTATGTTACATACTCAAGTTAGGTTAAATTTAAACTTCAATTAGACTCAAAATTGTATGTAAATTAATGAGAAATGAATGAGAAATAAGTTTTGTGCACTTTTTGGCAGACCAGCCAAAACCACCCAAAAAAAAAAAGTTCAGACCCATGGAGAGGCTGGACAGGAGACATAGGTCTGAACTTGTTGGCTTTTTTGTTTTTGAGCACTTTTTGGCAGCCAAAAACAAAAAACAACAAAAAGTTTAGACCCATGGAGAGGCTGGACAGGAGACATAGGTGTGAACTTTTTGGTCTTTTTGGTTTCTGCCAAAAAGTGATCAAAAAAACAAAAAAATCAGACCTATGTCTCCTGTCCAGCCTCTCCATGGGTCTGAACTCATTGTTTTTGGTTTTGTTTTTTTGAGCACTTTTTGGCAAACCAGCCAAAACCCAAAAATAAAACAATTCAGACACATGGAGAGGCTGGACAGGAGACATAGGTCTGAACTTGTTGTTCCCAAGATAGCGAAGCTATGGGGTTCTTACTTCAAATAACAATGAGTTGCCCGCGCGCGCTTTCAAGACAGGTTGCTGGCGCTGGGTGCCGGTGCTGGTGCTGGTGCTGTGAGCTGGCTGGGGGACAGGTTGCTGGTGCTGGTGCCGGTTGCCGGTGCTGGTGCTGTGAGCTGGCTGTGCACGTGGTGGAGACAGGTTGCTGGTGCTGGTGCCGGGCGCCGGTGCTGGTGCCCGCTTCTGACAGTGGAGTGCTAACAACCGCCGCTTCTGACAGCGAAGGGTAACAAACCGCCGCTTGCAGCAGCGAAGGGCGACCAAGCGCCGCTTCTGACAATGAAGCGCCAGCAGTCATGGGCCGCATAAACTTATGCACGCAACATCATACGGTGTTGTCGCTTGAGCGTTCTTTGTCTATTTGCGCTGTGGGGTATTTACAGTTCTGTTTTGGCCGGCAGCTGTGTCAAGGGCTGTACTGCTTGCACGCATACTTTTCTACGTATTCCATGCGCAACGTCAGGCTCTCAACCGACCATTGTTCCAGCATGTTTCAGCATGCTACACACACAATAGTCGTGCTGGATACTGCTTGGCCTTCGGCGAGTGAAGCCTACGGGCTTTGTTTGCCGTTTGCGCGCATACTTTTGTGCGCATAAACTTTTACGCGCAAGGTCATACGGCCGTATCGCCCTGCAGATCGTTGCCTCAAGCATGCTAGAAAGTCAATAGTGGCGCTGGATACTGCTTGGCCTTGGGCCAATGACGCTTACGGGCTTTGCCGTTTGCACGCATACTTTTGTGTGCATAAACATACATGCACAAGATCATACGTTGTTATTCTGCAAATAGGGATAGCTATGGGGTTCTTGCTGCAAATAAGAATGAGCTGGCTGCGCTTTCGAAAGGGCGTCGGTGCTGGTGCTGTGAGCTGGCAGCTGGTTGAGCGCGCTTTTAAGACGGGGAGGTGACGGGGAGGTGCCACAAGCTGGCTGTGCAGGCTGCGTGCATTCTTGCTCCAGCCAGTCGCATGTCAACAGGTCGTGGGATTCTGCCTAGCTATCTGGGCCTATGCTGGTGTATTTGTTTGTTTTTTGTTTTTGAGCACTTTTTGGCAAACCAGCCAAAACCAAAAAATAACAAAAAGTTCAGACCCATGGAGAGGCTGGACAGGAAACATAGGTGTGAACTTTTTGGTCTTTTTGGTTTCTGCCAAAAAGTGATCAAAAACACAAAAAAATCAGACCTATGTCTCCTGTCCAGCCTCTCCATGGGCCTGAACTTATTGTTTTCTTGTTTTGCTTTTGAGCACTTTTTGGCAAACCAGCCAAAACAAAAAAAATCAGACCCATGGAGAGGCTGGACAGGAGACATAGGTCTAAACTTTTTGTTTGTTGTTTTTGTGTTTGAGCACTTTTTTGCAGATCAGCCAAAACCACCCAAAACCAAAAGAAAAAGAGTTCAGACCCATGGAGAGGCTGGACAGCAGACATAGGTCTGAACTTTTTGCTTTTTTGTTTTTGAGCACTTTTTGGCAGACCAGCCAAAACCAAAAAAA